CATCTAGGGTTTGAAATAAAATACGACAAAGAAAATATTAACTCAAGTTTTTAGCTCCCAATTATTACAATGTACATACCTTATGATTCAACGGGATCAGAGGAGTTTAAGCAGTTACCTATGTAAACGATAGAATGTCCCAGCAATTTTCCTCGTTCACCTTCTGAAATTGCGATTGTTATCTCCTGCAAACGGGAGAATAATCCTTACCCCGTATTTTTGGCTCACTATCAACTCGATAATACCTGAAGAACAAAAGAAAAAATTGTCTCGAATGGTTTGTCCGTTAGACTCGAAGCTCGATAACAATGCCCTTGACAATTTCCATTAAATTTACTTCTGTCGATGAAAAAAAAAAAATAAATAAATGGATTTATTGTAGTTCCCGTGAAAATGTGCCTTTCCTGGATAACAATGCCCCTCGTGGATTGTCGAACTTGCATTTTATCAGCTCTATTTTATTTTGAATAAACCGAAGCATAAACTCAACGCAAATCCAAGGAACGGAAATAGAGGGTTCTTATTTCTCGAGTTACTGGGAAATTACTCGCCTCATTATTTGGTATTCTCCTCGCTTCCATCATTTTCAGTATTATGGAATTTATTGGACAGAAGATTGATTTAATTTTTTTGCGTTTTGAAAGATATAATCCTTCATTTCTTGTCCATGGAGTTGGAATTCCATGGGTGGGATACGTGCTTTTCTTACCTCGGGTTTATATCCCATATTGCCCATGAATCAGCTAGCACTTTTTGCCACCCCCCACCTCATTCATCCTCTGTGATATACACTATACATTAGTACTTGGTGCTACTATGATATATGAAAGGACTTTTATTGCCAACTATTGCGGAAACTCATGAAAAATCCTTATCCACGATATTAACTGGATCATTGCTTCCACAATATCTTAAAGTAACGTCCACTCGTTTTCCTCCTTCTTTTTTTAAACTGAAAAATTCATGGGGATAATAATAGAGCTTGCAACACATTGAATCTTTCATTTCGAATAATCACCTTTTGTTTTTTATCCTTATCGATATTAAATAAGGTAATTTATATGAAGGGTATACACTTTACATGGAAAAATTCAGCCGCTCTAATCATTCTCTATTTTTTTTTGCAAGCTTAACTCTTTTATTAGAAATAATTGAAACGAAAGAATAATTAATTCATTTTTAATGAGAGAGCAAATGTAATATATATAATCTAAATAATAAAATAATCTGAATGTTTAAATGTAAATATTCAAGGGACTGTCTACATTCTTGTCACGATATTCTATCTATATTTTAACGTAATATCCACTCATTTCCTCTCTTTTATTTAAAAACTGAAAAATTCATGGAGATAATAATAGAGCTTGCAACACATTGAATCTTTCATTTCGAATAATCACCTTTTATTTTTTATCCTTATCGATATTAAATAACGTAATTTATACGGAGGGTATATATTTTACATGGAAAAATTCAGTAACTCCAATCATTCCCTTTTTTTTTTCTTGTTCACCGCCGCACACTTCGTATTCATACCAAAAATTTGGACCATTCCGAGCTGACTCTCTTAATGAAAAAATTAAAAAAAAATCACAATGAATGAATTTTCAATGAAAAACATGATCAGCTGGAGCAACGACTAGTAATTTAACTCTGTGAAAATCGACGTCACTTTATCATTATGGTCGAATGAGTGGTAATTAGCTAATTGCCCCTGTCGAAATTTAACTTCTTCACTTTTTTTTTATTTATACGCCATTTCTTGCGGTACGCTATACGTCAGACTATACATATAGTAACGATAATAACTGACACACAATTACGTGTGTCCGAGATCCAAAGTTTAGAGAATTGTATTTGTGTAGTTTGTCATTTAACATACAATGACCGGAAGATGTTTCTTGTTACAAACCGCATGCACTATCAATCTAACGCCATCCTTCGTTTGAATTTTATCTTGTTGATGTAAAATATTGATAAATTTGGTTTTTTAATTGCGGAAACCACTCCAATGGCGATAAAAAAAAATAATGCTAGACAAGTGAGCACTTCCATTACATATAGTAGTCATTTTTACTAATAAATTAACAAATTAAACACACTTGCAAATGATCATTTGAAAAATGATATTTATGATAATTAACTAATAATTAACTAATTAACTATGATAATTATTTTCTGATTTCTAGATTATAACATCAAAACTGTCACTGTAAACCCCAATTAAATTCAATTAGTAGAATATTCCACGACAGGCGCAGAATTTAAATATTCATGAAGTGAGAATAATTAAAAATGCGCAGTTCATCATCGTTAACATTTGACAGTCCATTTCGATTCTATATTATCATTGACTGTCAACTGTATTCCATTCCCCCATCATGGCGGCTGGTAAACTGCATATTTTTAATGATCTTTCTGCAAACTTAGCAGATCCCATAAAATCAATATCGGTCCCCTACCCTCCAAAAATTTTCTCTCATTTTTATCATAACTTTTTTATATCAATCGAAGTTGTTCTGTAACACAATTCGTTACTCAAACTCATAAATATTCTAAAATAACAAGATAAAGTTCAAACCAAAGATAATGGTCGATAGCTAGTACATGCGGATCGTAAATTATTTTGTTCTTCGTAACTCGTGAAAATTGTTATGCCTTGAAATACGGCGGTTAAACATGACTTTTTTTGGTATATTTTTAAAGTTTGTTTTTCATAATTACGAGAAAACATTCGAATTTTCTGCGAGTTTACAAGTGGATAGTAAAGCACACACGCACGCATACAATTCTGGAAGAATGGATGAAAAACAGATTGTTTTTGAGATTTCCTTCATTCTCCATTGGTTACTGCTGTTCCATGCTATGCACCTCAAGTTGTTGGGCTTCTCTTCATTTAATCCTACCATTATCCATTCAGCAATCAGATAAGACCCCATGGATTCTCGCGTAATACATTAAATAGGCCCTTGTCCTCCTATCTAAAAATTTGAAAGTCTAACTAAAGAAGCAATGATTTCAATCACTCCACATGTTCTTGCATCAATCCAACCAATACAATGGCTATCATTCTCCAATTCTATAAATTAAACGTATTACAATTCATAATGACTCTAAATGAACAATAAATTATTCTCTTTCATTGTTGCACTTGATTTTTGTTGTAAATTTCTTCTGAAGAACGATAGAATCTAATACTCAACTAGCGTCTGGGGTGCAGGCACTGTTCTTTCACAGAATGATACTTTTGTTTCATGTTTCATCTCCCTAAACGTCGACCATTCACACATTATTCCACTGGCTAATGATGATTACAATTATGTAAGCGATATTTAAATTTATATTCGTCACGAGTTGTATCGGGGCTCAACAATATTCAATATTTGGAGTACAGAATTCATACGACACAGAGTGGTGTTAATCATTATTCATTTCGTATTCGACACCGCAAATCGTCAACGATTGCAATATATCGTTTTATCATTAATCATTACAAAGGTATACCTTCGTGTTTATGAAATAACTGGTTTTGCACATGCTCGAGGGTCATTCTTGGGTAATTCGAGTAACTCAGGGATAAATTGCAATAGTAAATGCTTACTATCGGGCCTGCCGACAGTATTCATATACAGATATAATCTGCGTGTCATAAACTGATAATTTACAGTTATTAAACACGTAATTATTCGTGAATATGGAAACAATTATGGCCAAAATTTTCACAGAGATTCAGTAAATCAAAGTTTTACCATCTGATTCATTTAGTGTCAGTTTGTTTCACGCTTAAAGTAAATGCAGGGGGTAAAAATTGCGAGAATTTTTCTCATTTTAATTGAAAGTCATTAGTTTGTTTAATTAGTTTTTCGAGAATCCCGCAATATTCATAATACGAGGTCGAGGTGAAGACGTTGGTTAAGACTACAGATGATTAACAATCAGATTATGTTTTTTTCTTTTAAATTTAATAGATGAAATTCATTTGGGAAAGACTAGACTTAGGCAGAACAAGATTCATTAAAATGTTTCTAACATGTCTAACTCCAGGTATCACGCATTCTTCACTGTTACACAGTTGAACACTCGTCAATAATCATTGAGTATTCGATCACTGATGGACAGGAGAATAAAATATATATTTGTTTTTATTTTCATTTATATATAATAATCAGCAATAACTATATCGGCTCTGAGAAAACTTACACTGCAAGAAAAATTGGCAATATATATTGATTCATCTTCAATAATAGTATCTTTTTCAACATTTCTGTTTTTCTAAACTTTTTTTAATGGATGGAAGTCGCCGGATGAATTAATGAATCGCCTCGATATGCACTTGATATCCTAAATCAATGGAACGTATATTTATAATTAAACTTCGTTATCATAGTTTCATTCTCCAGAATCATCCAGCAGACATTTGCCCTCGATCATTATTTGTGGCTGTCCACGTGGGAAGGTCCCTTGCGATAAGGAGTTAGCAATGTGGCCATGAAATTTCAAAAATTTTTATCCCAAATAACACTCTCTAAGTTGAAAATTTTCGGAGTTATGAAGTTTTAAAGTTGTTAACTTTAAAAACAAAGTTTTTAAAACATTTAAAAATTAGACAATGGATTTACTGGTGCTCTTGTTAGAAGTTATTGAGTATTCCAATATAAACTCGCTCCAAATCGATTGGTTTCATTTTATATTAAGATGAATAGAAACTTTCTTCCATAACAAACGTCGATACTCTCATTAATGAAATGAACCTTTTCTTAAAATTAAATTGCAAAAATTTCTGAACTGCAATTCAGAAAACTGAATTATAAAATTATTAGATAGGTAAATATAATCGTCAGTAAGCCAATATCCAATGAGGCCGAATAAATCGTTAAAACTGAAGAACTTATCGATTTATTCATATCGCGAACGAGAGGTGAATACAGTAAATGAATTATTCGGCTGTCATTTATGGATGAAAATCATTGTTCAGTATTCAAACCCCCTTTCCACATAAATCGTCCGGGCATAATAAAATTGCCTTCCAGTAATAATAAGCCCCTGTTAGAAGGAACTCCATACGGAATTCGTATGGAGTATTCGCTCTTCAACAAGAGCCCTTTTCTTTTTTTTCATTCGAACTGATTAACTTCTAGTTGGGCTAATGAGATTCAATTGGCCTATTTCGACATGCAGTGAGAAAAGTTCAACTTTCATTTGAAATAATTCAGAAAAATGGCAATTCCAACCCAAATCACGAAAGTGCCTAAATCTCGAAAACGAGAAGGGCGCACAAGAAACCTTTTTATATGGACGACCACATTTATTCATCATCGTTTCATTTTTTTTTTTTGCTTCGTGACGTGCGTTTTATGTACGTGCGTGCGTGCTGCGTGCGCTACATGCCTTTCAGTATTATTCCATATTTTAGTCATTTTTCGTTCTCATTCATCTTCATAAATGTTTCATTTTCATTGGTGTACAGCCCTCACAACTAAGTAGACTCAATCATCCCAGGATGGAAAACTATCCTGAGCAACAAATAGAGGATTTGCTTTGGTATTTGTAGTATGGGTTTGGGCTGTGGTACTTCCATGCATTGGTGTACCACCGAAATTAGTATTGCCAAATACTGGCTGGCCAAATGCATCCAACTGCTGTCCCTCATATATACTGCGATCCTGATTGACGTAGTGATGTGATGGTGAGGCACCTGCATGCTCTGTAATTTTTAACTCTATGTTGCCGGTATTGCCGCTATCTGCTCGACCATCCTCTGTTTCTGTCTCAAGACTGCTGTTCTTGATACCATAGTAGAAATACATTATAAAACCTGAAATAGATAATGACGATTTCTCCTCAAGTTGTGACATCACAATATTGCTGTTACCTAAAGAAATAAAAAATGCAGATTTTTCAAATTTATTTTTCTTTTCAAAATCAAATTTTTCATTAATTAAAGTAAAAGGAATGTCTTCTCTCAACTATATTTGCTAACCACAAGAAAATATATTTGGTTTCTATTTATGCTGTGATTACCAGATTTACTGGTAACTACAGGGAAGTCAATATGTTTGGAAAAATAGATTTTCTTCTGAATGTAACGATTGCTTTCGCACGTATTCGCCTCGTGGATGTAAAATTCTTAAAATCGTGAAGAATGCAAAAAAGAAAATTTATTTTGACAGTGCAAATATCAATGAAGAATCTGCATTAGGCATGATGATATAGTATTTTCTTACCAAGTATCATCCATACTGTAAATCTGACCAGTGTCAATATGCTCAAGTTAAATATGAGGTACACGTTGACAGTCACTGCTATCGCCGGCACAAAGGGGAGTCCCGGTGTCATGAACATAATGCTATTCCTAATATGGTAATGAGAGAATCATTTAAGATTTATCGATCAGAATTTATGAATAGATACGGGGGAGAGTCTGGCCAAAGGAAAAATTTCATATACCTTCACAAAATTTACTAATCTCATCTGAATATCTATAAATTAATTATTCTAAAGTCGTCTCGCCCTTAAAAAAATTCCGTCTAAAAATCGTACGAATAATCTGCAAGTCAATAGAATACTCAATTTGAATGTGAATTTTTCATAACGACAAAAATACGTTAATTTTTTAAATAAAATACTCCTCGACAAACCCGTTTAGTCTTAAAAAACTTCTCAGAATTTTTCATCATCCAAAAATTCGATTGCTATTTTTGCAATTTAATCTTTACAATTATTGTCAAATCTTCAGCTTTCATTGAATTTTTACGAGCGATTTACCACAAAAATTAAAATTTTTTTGAATCTCGAAGACGAATGCGAAATCTAGCGAAGGTTTTTAATTAAGATTGCATTCAAACTCAAGAATGAAAAATTCAGTTGACCTCACGGTACGAAAAAATTCAAAAAATACTTAGTCACTCCGTTTTGACTTAGACTCTCCCATTATTAAATATTTCAATTACCTATTCTGAGGCTTTCTACTAATGGCGAGAAGGACTCCAATAATAGCGAATAAAAATAAAAACATGACGATAGTCATGAATGTTCCCATGCCGCCCATGCCACAGACAATGATGAAATCGAAGATTAGAATGAGTAGATACAGGATTCCCACCATTTTCATAACATAACGACCAGATGCCTCAGTCGCTGGTCCTCTGTCAACCCATGGGAAAATGGCAGGACAGAGATACTGCGCAGCCTGATAATTAGATATTTCAATAATTACCGGTTAAATTTCCACAAGAAAATCATTTCCTACGTTCTAGTGAATTGGCAATTTTTTTCATACCTGAAGTCGTCGCTGAAGATAATTGAGTGGTGGACCGATAATTGGCGTCGTACCCGGGTATTGATGGGCGCTACCACAAGTTGATGAAGCTGCTGCCGCATGAACGCTCCCATAAAATTTATTCTCCGTTCTATCGCTAACTAGGTACTGATCGTCTTTTCCTAAACCCACATCGTCTTCCTCACCACCGTATGTGTCATCTGAATCGGGTGATGAACTATTGGCTCGTCTCACACGCCTCACCTTTAATTTTTTTAAACCAATCAAGACAAGAACCAATCATTAAATTCCAGTCCAAATCCAAAAAACCATTCGGCCTATTTCGACGTTTTTTTATTTTCAAATTGCAATCCGGTGAACTATTAATTTATATAATTTTGGTTGGAAGTAATATAAATTGCCATAAATATTTTATGATAATAAATAACTTGACAGCAAATGTGAAATTGCAAAATTTGGGAATATGGTGCGAAGACTGAAGGATAGTGCAAGATGTGCCTCCCATTTCTGACACAACTGAATTATTCAAGATAGAATTTAAAAAATGTCAAAATTATTAAAGAGAGTAGCGAAAATTCAGGTGAAAGTACTCAAGAGAAATTGCTACCCTAATTTTTCTTTCATGAGAATAGTGAAACAGCATGACAAAACTTGATCAAACTTAGAAGCACTTATTTAGTCTGAAGAAACTTTGAAAAGGGAAACTTTGGAGGTGATGAGCTAATCTCACTTCAAAGGTTTCAATTCAATTTATTGGCCTCAAGTATTGACCAAAGGGTAGAAAGTTGTTGAGTTAAAAATTTATTGAATTAAACTTTTCATCAACTCTTTTCGAGTCTTTGATGTCGGTTGATGGTAAATTGAAGATATCTTACGGTAACGCGCTGGCCATTACTGTTGGTCGTTATCTCAGTCTGTGTCGTTTGAACGGTGCTAAGGGCGATAGTAAGCTGATCAGGTCTCAATTCTTTGCCATAAGGGGCTTGACCATTGCCTTGGGTTTCTTTAGTGGGTGACCTGCATGGGGTACGTAGACTCTGGGGCAGAAGTTCAATGAGATTCGTCGAGTGAGGTTGATAACGCAGGATTAAAACACATGTTGATACGAGAGTATAGGCCAACAGAGTACCTGAATTATTCATTGAAAAAGTATATTATTAATTATTACAAAAGACAAACAGTTAGGCGCAAGTCAGAAACAAAAAATATAATGAAATCTAGAATATTTTAAACTTCATTCTACACTGTTAACGATTTCTGACGGAATTTTCCATGGAAAATATCAGAAACCATCAGGAAAATTCGTTCCAACCGAAGGCGACGACTGACCAAGCATACGAGCGAGAAAGCCTGATCGATGCTTCTATTCTCAGTACGAAATTCCATTGAGAAAAACAAATTACTTGTCCTAAATCAATTTATTCATTAAATCTCTCAAGTGAATGTGCCAGAACATATTTACTTGAGCGACTGACTGAGTAAATTATATACATATACATATTTGATATATTTTCATTTGGAACGTCTGGAATTTCTTCTAATTATTAAATTTAATTGAAAATTATTATTTTTTCACGGCGTAGAATTGAGTATAGAATATATTATAAGAACTAATACTTTTCCTCGATAAATACTCTTTACATAATTGAAGCTATAAATATCTCACCGATGGACATCATCTCTACGAGGACTTCTAATTTAATTAGAAGTGCTGCTAACGCTGCAGCTAATCCGGATGTCAGTGTTGCTAGAGCTGGTGTTCCAGTGGTTGGCCAAATTTGGCTGAACATACTAAAAATAAATTGCACAAAGTTTGAGTATACGTAGTGGTTGGGCAACATCAGCCGGAAGCTGGTGTCGGCATTTAACTTTTATAATAACTTAAATATTTATGCACAAGGCATTAGAGAATATCATGAATTTTCTTGTAGCCGAGTCAATGGGTGTTGAATGAGTTTAATGGGTAATTTAATTATGAATATTTACCGGAATATTAAACCATCCTGTGCCATTGCGTAAACTATTCTAGGCATGGGAAACATACTGCCAAACATTGATACTGTCAATCCGGCAAGTGCACCCACTGCTACGATGTATTTACATTTGTATGCTCCAACTTGGCCGAACATTTCTACGAGGGCTGAGTCTTGGTCTACTTCGTCATAAGGAACTGAAAATTATTATTCATTATTGGTAAAGCTAAAACTACCCAAATTGTTGCCAACTGAAACCTCGAGTCTTCTACTGACGATTAATCTGCTTGCTTCAGATTCATTGATAAGTTCTCCTTTTAATTTCAATGAGGAATTATTGATATTTTAAATGATGCGTCTAAAAATTGCTCGGATTATTTATCAAACTCGGATTTCAGTTAGTATTCCAAGCTGTCAAATAGCTTTATTTCAGGTGGTTTTTTTTTAATTGCCATCGGATATTTTAAGTTATATCGCCTTGAGCTTGTAATTTTTCATCTGAAAAACCATTCCTTCATTTGTTTACAACAAATCTTGAGAGAATTTTTTTCTGGGTTGGGACTCACCAATTAGTGTCAGCACCATGCTGCTCGATACGTAGGCAATGAGAATAATAGCAAGAGAGGAAACAATTGCTAATGGGATACTCTTCTTTGGATTTGTCGCTTCTTCGCCAGTCGTCGCTATTATGTCAAATCCAATGAATGCATAGAAACAAGTCGCTGCCCCCGTAAACACCTGTGTCATCAATTGAGAATCGTTAGTATTTCCCAAAGAATAATAGTAACACAGCATATCGTGTTTTTATGACATTTTTTATCGATGTCTTCGGTTCAATAAGAAATGATGGACATCGAGGGGATTTGGAAGGGACTGTCTAAGCTTTCAAAGCAATAAATGAAGATGACACCAGCATCGATAAGAATTGTCTCTTCCCAACAGCTTTCATTCACCAGTTCATGTTATTATTCTTAAATATATCCTCACCTCAACAAGAGACACAAGTAAATGCCAGAAGGTTTTCTTTGAATGGAAGAAATTGATGTCTAAATAAAATAATTGAAGATTGCTTTTTTATTATCATGAAAACGTCAAAGTTCTTTTGGTAAATCGATATTGATATCTCGTCTCTTTGGCTCAGGAAGAGAATACCCACGTACTTGACGCATGCTCTCTAATCGGAGCATTGAAAGGGCTATTTTAAACGGTGGAGGGTACAATGGAGGAACAGGGGTGGGGAAAAAATAAATAAATAAATGAAAAAACTCTGAGGCCATTGAAAGGTCAAGCTGCACCAGTTTCGAGAGAGGTGTAGGAACTTATGAGGCTACTTCTCTCTGAGCTGATGGCCCTTGAGAATTGCACGCCCTCGATCCGGTTTCTCTTTGAATAGGTTACCCTTAACAATCCACATTTCTCCCCATGCTAATGTTTCATATCAAGTTCTCAAAGAAAATTGACAGAAAGGACAGACACTTTTTTTAGGGATACTTATGCCCCACAAAGTGTCTGCCGTCTTGGCTGAATCATGGGCAAACTTTTTCATCTACGAAATAATTTCTTTATTAATGGGGGACAATCTATTCCCACCAGAATCTTTTCACGCACTTTGCTTTGAGTTCCTGTGAAAATTCACTGTTTTATTTTTCAACTTCTTTCGCTTCTCCTGGAAATTTATTTATAATTGCGCAAATTTGAAGGTTCAGTGCTTTGAGGAGTTGAAAAGTGAAATGAATTAAAATGTTAAGACATTGAATATTTTTCTAGTGATTCTACACTGTTGGAAAATTGTGCTTGAAATTTCGAGTAAAAACCAGGAAATTTTTTACGTCGAAGTAATATTAATTTTGTAGATAATATTTCAGTGACGAATGGGTTAATTTCTGACTGAACATACGACAGTCAAAAGACGTTAAAATATGAAAGGTTCTGAGCTTAAATTCCCTGAACTTTCGACCTATTGAAAATTCAATGATCATTCAACATGAAAACCCTAATGGTCTTGAATTTTCGAGACAAATGAAAAATTTAATGATTCTTTTTAATTGAAACTAAATTCAAACTCACATAATTAAGAATTCCAATACCTTTATCACTGAAATTTCAAGGAATTCCTAACAGTGTAGGGGAAAATACTTTTCTTCCTGGACTTCTTTTACAGGAAATCGTTCATTCAATGAGATACCGTTAGAATTTTTACAGGGATAATATTTTTTGCACTTGATAATCAAAAAACCGCAAACAATAAGACCTAGTTTTTATCTTTATTACTGTTGGAAGTTCCTCCCCAGTCGTTATCGATCAGTTACTGCTGTCTTACCACATGTAACAAAACTTTGGAGAGTTCTTATCTCCAACTCGCAATGAAGAAATGCGCTCTGGATTTTTCAGTTTCAAATTACACCAATACATCATAAAGTAATTTGGAAAAGAACAAAAACTATTGCGGAGTAATCTATCATTGAAAGAGTAAAGTTTTTGGTGGCCCCAGTTGGATTGCAAGAGATAAGAGAAATCCATTTGTCTGATGATGGGGCATAATAATTCCAGAGATACCCCGTGGGAATCTCTTAAAAGTGGGTGAAAATTAATTTTTACCGAATCTCACGACGAAAAATTGAAGGAAAAACGATTTGTTATCGCGAGACTACAGATTAAATGGAGATGGCTACCTAATGATTGAATGATAGTCTCGTAATGATCTCGAGAATTCCCTCGATCATTTCGTGCCATGATTTATGATTCCACACTTATACGGAGAACAATCAATTTCTCGACAAAAATTCTCTTAGGAAAGCTCTTCAGAAACAGATGAAAACAATTAATCATAATGAAGACAGCGGGAACAATTCATCAAATCACAAAAAATAATTTCGTCGGAAGTTGAAGATTTTATTCCGTTCTTCTTCACGTGAAAAAAATTGCGCCATTTCTTTTGTTTTTTCTCTACTTAATTCATTATTTATAAATTAGTTTAATGCTTCCGAATGAATTACAGGTTTTGACCCTCCATTTTTTTCAGTCTAATTTCTGAATTTCCAATTTTTTAACCCAAAACTCATACATTTTAATTTTTTTACCCTATCCTGTTGGCAGTAGATTTTATAGCCATAAATCTTGGACTCCAAACTTCTGGAGATGTTTTAAAAATTTAATATCTACGGACTCGATCGAGATAATGAAGAATCGAACATCCACTGCCCCAATTCCATTGATTTTCATAATGATTTTTTGAGTCATCGTCGAGAAAAAAATGTTATCTGTATCCTCTTATTCGCTGGTATGTCAATATCTTATCATTATTATTGTTTCTTTCACCCCATTTTATTTCAATACTCCGTCCATCATATCCTTAAGGCTATCTTTCTGTATTTCCCAAAACAAAAACTTTCCTTTTTCTTTTGAAGATAAATATTATTTTTTGTTTGTATCAGTATTTCCGAGTGTAACCCTCGTGATATCTTGATATCTTTCAGTGAAACACCTCTATTTCGTGCCCTCGGAAAAGCCTCATCTAATCCACCTCAATCACTTTTTCACTCCTCCACTCACTCATTCTGAGTCACTCCTAAACCACATTTGAGCCTACTCGTAGATATTATGTACACCACAAAAACCCCGAGGGCTCATTGCATATGTTTCTCACATCTCTGGGATGCAACAAGTTTGCCATTGTTTCAACAAGCCCCAAAACCCTCCAGTCATTCAGGCAAATACCGCTCGTGGGTAATACAACATTGATCATTTAGACGAAAGAAAAAAAATTTAATACGAAAAGTTACCGAAAGACATTAACATAACAAATTAAATATCTCCATCCTAACAAGAAACACATGTAACTCCCATTTTTGTTTCTTCTTTTTTTTAATAATAGCAAGTAGTCCATTTTCTCGCACTGGTAAAAATAATTAGTTTTGCCGAGGAAATTTTCAGACAACAAGAAAATCCACATGTTTCAATGTAATTATTCCTGTGGATTTTTTAACACGCCATCGGAATATTACACGTGATATTCAATTTTTCAAATTAAACAAAGTGGATTTTTTTAGTAACGACAAAGTGACATGAATATTGGGCAGAAATTTCCGTTGACGACAAGTCTGGTAATTTCTTGAATATTTTGGTAATTCTGAATTTCCCGGTTCATATCCCTCGCGGAAAGGATATACATGCTAATAATAATTTATTGCATTTTTATTGCAAATATATTTCACGGAAATGTCAGAGATATGTCGAATATGTTCAGTATTTATCTTATATATTGTAATTTTGCTGGGATACATGTGTATATAACTGATATATGTTTCCCATATATACCAGCAGTAGATTGAAAATTTCATTTGATGTGATGTTGAATTTTCATGTCGAGTATGAAAATTCGAGTTTCAATTCAAAAATCAATTATCATTTACCACACGAAACGCAATTTTCTTGAATTTTCATGATAAACGGGAAATTTAGAGAGTGTCGCTAATTGGAATCGAATTCAAACTCCTACACGGAGAGAAATATGTAGTAAAAATTACGGAACTTTCAGGTCACTTACCGATTACGGAGTCGATTCGAAAAATTTAAGTGACGGTATCGTAATTTTTCACTAATAATTCAGATAAAAATTACGGAACACCGCAGAAAAATTCCGTAACATTAGATAAAAATTACGTGACAGTTCCGTAAAATTTCCGACAGCCACATTTCGCTCCAGAATTACGGAAAATACACGTAATTTTTATTGAACATTTCTCTCTGTGTATAATTCAAAATTCAGATGACTATAATTGCAATTGCAATACATTTTTTTTAATATAATAATGAATCGAAAGAATGCAATTATTGAAATATTAAAGTATGAGGATTTTCCTGCTAGTTGTCAATTTACTTTGAAAAGCAATTATTTAATTAAATCAGTAGAGTTTTTTGTGAGTACATATTAAGGCGTGCATATGATTCAGTGAAACCCCAAAAATATTTGAAGAACATGATGCTCATCCCTTTCCAAGGGGTTCTTAATTATCCCTGCATTTTGTTATTTTTTTTCTTTCTTTCGGGAGAATTTGGGGTGTTTTCATTTGCTTCTTGTACTCTAAAATTCCTCCCTGAAGAGTACACAAAGAGCCCGACTAGAAATTTAATACGGCAAGCTTGTTGTCACATCAGGGCCAAGTTGGTTAAGAATCAGGCCGCCCGGAGCCTGGCATGCCTTCTCAGGTCTAAACAAGGGCTATATCCAGCTTGCCGGTGTAAGGCATGCCGTGTGCTTTGGTGATCAGGCCATGATGCATTTGACTTACGGCATGCCAGGTCAGGTGATGATCAGGTATACGTGATCAGGCCTTGACCAGGTGCAAGTCTGTCATGCCGGAGTACGGTAAATCTAGGGTTTGCCTCATCTGGTTTCGTTAAGGTGGAGATAAGGTACGCCAGGGCAGGCATACATGATCAGGTCTTGTCTAAGTATAAGTCTGGTATACCGGAGTACACTAAATATACATATATACTATACTCAAATCAAGGATAGAATATACTGAATGTATCTGGTTTTTTGTTTCCTGTTACCACCAGCAGGTGTGGTGAAATAGGAAAAATGCGTTATAACCCTATATATTGAAAAAACTTTTGATTTTTGTCACATCCCGAGTGTTTTAAATATTTTTAACGTGTCTTCCTCAATTCCGTGAAAGAATTATAAGCGAGGTTATGTAGAATTATGAGTGTATCTCTGGCTGCCAACAATTATTACAATGAGTGATCCAAATAGACGAAAAAAAATACTCCAACTTGAACGGGTCCAACGTCATCGGAATAAACAAAGAACAGAAAAAGTTAATGCTGACTCTAGAAATAATATTGATGATGAATGGCTTGGGAAAAGTTTATTTGAAAATACGTGTTCGCGAGGTGAATTGAACAATGCTAGGACAAGATGTCCTCCAGTTAATGATGGTGGTGAAACTCTTAACATTCAGAATCATTCTTTGATTCCTGGTGATTCAGATTCACACTCAGAGTTTTGTGATGGCGAGCTTGATGAGCATGGTTTTTCTAATGGAAATTTCATTGAATTACCTTCTGAATCAAATAACGGTATCGAAAATCCGGAATTATTTTCTTCGGATGGAGAATCTGAAAATTCGGTATGGGGCGATGAGGATGATGAGGATGAATTACGTCCAGCAAGTGTGACTGAGGATGATATTGACACACTCGATGAATTTTCTAGTGAAAATCCAGAAACCGAACAGCTGCGTGAATGGGCCCGTAGACATCATAAAGTGACACACACACAGCTGACTGAGTTGCTCCTAATATTTCGCCAAAGATTGCTGCCTGAATTACCAAAATGTGCCAAAACTTTTCTCGGCACTACCAGTGCACGATATGATATTCAAGTCGACCCGAAAGATAACAGTGAGTTTGTATATTTCAATTTAACGGAGCAGCTGAAACGACAGGCCAATCCACAATTGCATATTGATAGGATTATCTACTTGGTCATTAATGTCGACGGCCTACAATTATACAAATCAAGTTCCAAACAGTTTTGGCCTATTCTGTGTTCAATTTACTCTGAGGAAAATTTTTACAAACCTTTTCCTGTAGCTATTTACTCAGGAACCAGTAAACCCAAAAATCTGGATAAATTCCTAGAAAAATTTGTTGATGAATTAAATGGGGTCCAACGTGATGGATTATTCATCAACAATCAGAAATATAGAGTATGTATTAAATGTTTCGTTTGTGATCGACCCGCTCGAGCTTTTCTGAAATGTATCAAACATCATGGTGCTTATTGGGCTTGCGAAAGATGTAATGTCCGCGGAATACGAGTTGCGGGAAGGACGACATATCCTTTAGATGTTTCAAGTGAGGAACGAACCGATGATTCCTTTCGTGAGCAATCTAATCCTGAACATCACACCGGCCAATCTCCTCTTCTGAAAATTACGCCAAAAATTAATATGGTTACGTCATTTGTTTTAGATTTCATGCACTTGCTTTGTCTTGGTGTGATGAAGAAACTTATTGGATATTGGTTGCATAATAAGAGCACTCGTTTAAATTTTAGTGCTCAGGCTTTACTCTCCGCTCTACTATTACAGTTTCAAAACCAAATTCCGTGTGAATTTCAAAGGACAACTCGTTCATTGACTGAAATCGAACGTTTCAAAGCGACTGAATTCAAATTCATACTTTTATATGCAGGACCAGTGATTTTTAAAAAAGTTCTACCAGAGATCATGTACAAGCATTTCCTTTTGCTCCATGTATCGTGTCGAATATTATGCTCAAAAACAAAAGCCCTTGCAGAGTGCGCCAACGCTAAACGATTATTGGTAAAATTCGTGTCATTAATGCCTCGAATTTACGGACCCGCCAGTCTCATTGGGAATATTCACAATTTGGTTCATCTCGCTGATGACGTCTACCACATGGCTGTTCCATTGTCCACCATTACAGCATTTCCGTTTGAAAGCACACTTGGGAAAATGAAGAGATTACTACGCCAAGGTAATCGCCCTCTTTCTCAAATTTGTAGGCGTTTGCATGAGACTTTTGTCATTAACTCAACCCGCGTTATACCGCCACAGCTAATACAGATCGAACGACAGCTTTTACCTGATCGGACTGGGAAAGTTATTGTGAAACGTGTAAAATACCGTGAAGCAACGTTGACAGACAAGTTTCCAAATAATGCCGTTCTTCTGGAAAATAACAATTTACTGGAGATTACTAATATGCACATTCCACCGGGTATGAATGAAATTTATATATCTGGACAACTCTTGAAAAAAAAAAAATCCCTTCTGTCTTTTCCCTGTAATTCAGAAGCGCTGGAAATGTGGGTGATTACTCGGGCAGAATCTACTGTAAAATCTTATCGTTTGAACCAAGTTTCGAAAAAAATGATAACCCTTAAGGTCAATCACCAGGGCAAACACAAAATATATATAATGCCACTTCTCCATATGTGAGAACAGAGAGAGTAAAGCCCTTTGTTTTAATTGATGAATCGAAAATCGCAGTCACTATTTATTTTTATTATCGTTTACTTATTGGTTCTAAATGGGGAAAAATTGATGAATTCAGGTGTAAAATTTATCTAAATTTGTTGGATGTATGGGGACATTTCGTTGAACATGAATAATTATGATGGAAATATCTAATGTACGCTCGGAATCTCGTAAAATAGTAATTTGAAATTTTGATAATTGTACTGTTTTTGCCATGCGCATAAGCGACTGAATACATGTATTCTTACGGTTGGCAACATGACACTGTGTGATACGTATTTACGAAATTTACGCTAATCAAAGACACGATTCTGGATACATTAAAGACTTTGTTCATCGTAAAGTTAAAGAAGCTTTTTTATTGTGAAGTTCGGAATGTGTCGGATCAAAAATTACTCTGGATTAATTAGTAACAGTGACTCGACGCCTACAGGTGTGTGAGTGTGAGACTAAACGGAAGTCTGGCAGTATGTTCCTGAAAATGGTGGATCCTAGGCCCTGCATTTCTGCGAGGTGACTAAAGTGATTGTGCACTGTGATCTACCATTGAGTGCCATAAAATTGCTCGAATATTAAAAGGTGGCATTATTCCATTTCTAAATAGGATTTGAGCAACACATTGCAGTAGAGGTGGTCAAAGCTCATCAAAACTAAGAATCATCGTATGCCGGTGCACGTGTACAGATTGTTGCATCATTAATATAGTGATTGCTACAGATTACATACTTGTGATTCATGATCTATCGATTTAATAAACTGAGTAATTGTCGGCAACTTAATCTTATTAGTCGTCGACTAATCTGATCGCGAAGTGGGAAAGTGTGTGAAAATTGATCAACCTAACCTCTTTGGCTGTCGGTCATTCTCATTATCGTAAGTATCAATTGCATTTAGCTTAAACAAAAACTACGAAAATGTAGATTGAAATGAATGATTCCAGAAAATCGTTTCAAATTCCCAATGTTTAAAAGTTTTTGAAATTGTGTTCATTTCCATTTTTAAGTTCTCAAATAATGTTAATAAAAAAGCCAGCCGGTCTTTCTATCTTCTGTCTTTCTCTCTTTATGGAGATGCTGAGGCGGTTAGAGATTTTCTTGTTTCTCCATGCATCTGAAGACTATCAAACTATCAAACGATTAGACTTGTGAACTCTTCCTGGGGCAACTCGGTTTTTTATTGAGTTTTTGTTGTATTTTCGCAGTTTTCTTATACATCATGCCTGTCCATCCGAAACATATTGTTTGTTAATTTAATAGAAATTCGTATCATTTGCAGAAAATGACGGAATATTATCCTTTCAAAATTGTTCGTTTTCCTGATGATGATTCAGAGAAATACAGCGTGGATATTTTACCCAGTGAATGGATTTTCTCGTGTGTAGAAAGAAAATGTAAAATGTGCCACTTCCCCTGTGGTCCTTTCAGTGCCAGAGATATATCTAAACTACATGAAATGGTCAAAAAGTGTCAACCAGCTGATCAATCATGGCCTGTTCACAGAGTCATTATCATTGGCCGAGCAAGTGAGTTTTTTTACAGTTATAGGAACAGAAAAAAGGAGATTTTGACAGGGAATTGCTGAAAACTTTCTTCGTCGAAAATAGTTTCCAAGAACAATATATATTATTGCTATAGAATATTAGAAGAGTTTCACACATTATCGAAGCAATTAATGGCAAAATATTATATGACATTTATTCTTGATTTTTTACTAATTCATTATCGAGTTGTTCTCTATCAATTGATTCTTCCATGATTATACATTGTCATCACCAGTAATCATAATTTGTAGAGACCTATTCAGAAGCCCAGAAAGCAGCAAAAAAGTGCGAATACGAGCCATATGCATTCTCAACCGATCGTGAGTCATCTGTGGAAAGAAAAATCGAAGAGGAAAATACTACTCTCGCTATTGAAGATGGAAAAAAAAAAGATATTGATGATGAGTTTGATGAAGCTGTTTTTGATTTGCTCAGTGCCCGTGATCATGTTGGTCGTCCCAAACGTCAGTCACAGAAAAACTTGCCTAAAGTGCAATCAGAAACAAGACGATACTCGCTGTCCTCAGAAGGATCCACCACTGAAAACTTAACAGGACAAGAGACTGATGATGATGATGACTCTCGATCAGAGGACTTGAAGGCAGCAGAAAAAAATCGCAAGTACGTGGAAGTTGGACACTCTTTCAGAAAATCAAGTGCAACAGAACAAGTCCCTATACAAGTTATGAGAAGTAAAAGTGCCTATCTACTGAAGTCTCCGTCACCTCAATTGAACAGCTCTGACATTCCCATTGGACAAAAGAGGAAATCGACAATACACAAAGATGAACTCCTGTCCGCTCAACTTGCCAAGAAATTGAGAACATTTCCAGCAGTACCTGAGCCCAAATCTCCTTTTGCTGCTCAACAAGGTGGGAAAACGACCTCTCTGCCACAAGACGTAGAGGTTGCCTTCTCTGCCAGCAGAAATCAGGATTCTTCGATGAACAGGCGCCGCTCACGTTCGGCAGACCGCTCAAACATTGATATTGGGAAAAAAACTGCGAGACGTTCACGGTCATCACAGGATGCTGGCAGGGATGGGAGTAAGGAGGATCCGGACAGATCACTCACAGAAGAACAGCCTGGTAGTCTCACTGAAGGTGCGTTTTCCGATTGGAAAACTCATACCAATTTTTAGGAATTCTTATCATCGTTTTTTGATTGTAATTCTTTCTTTTTAGCTGTGGATTTACTGAAATATTTAAAACAAATGCACAACAGTTTGTCAAGCCGTATAGATCGCTTGTATGGTTGCCAGCTCGAGACGAATGGCCACATACAAGAGTTGGAACATGTGATTACACATAAATCCCATCGACAAGAAATAGATGTTGATGAAGAAAATCTTGACGATGAGAATTTCGCATTGCCAGTAAAATCCAAGGCTGAGTTTTATGTATTTGATGAAAAACTCAAGGATAAGGGATATATTAGAAAAGTGGTAAGGTTACAACTTATTTATGTCAACTTGTAATAAATTAGAAATAAATCGATAAGGAGTGGTGAAACAAGATAACTTAACTTATCTTTTCACCATTCAACTCGACTCATGGATGAAACTGAGAGAAACTGATATTTTCCAACTATATTGGAAATGTATAATACATTTTTTTCTTATAGGCCTCAACTCACTCCACAAAAAAGGTTATAATAAAAATTAAACTGTCTTCTCTGACTTTCGGAATTGTCATAAAAAACTGGGCCATAGTCTAAAGTTACTAATATCGTTGTGTCACTTCTACTTTTTTTTTTCATGTTTTTCCTTTTGTGTAACAGGCTCAACGAGTAAAACGAATGGTTGACAAATACGAAATAAAAACGCATAATCTCTCATCAATCATGCGCATTTTTCTTAGCAAAAATGTAATTGTCAATGATTTCACCGCACTGAAAAAAACTGCTACCAAAGACGTATTCCAGGAGACTACATTGTACCAGCTTTTAAAAGGTATAACACTAGTTGAATGAAAATTTATTTACGTTCTGCTCTGCATTACTGACATAAAATAATTAATTCATAAAATGTACTAATTTTTAGTGATTCATCAAACCGTTCAAGGTACTAAACTTGATGATAAAGCATTCAATAATGCTCTGAAAAGTGTTTTCAACTCGGCAAAGGATTGGGAAGGTGGACGTCTGGCTCGTTTACAAAAAGAATAATATTTCTACAATTTATTCAAAATTAAATGAATAATTCAAATTTATAGTTTCGTCTCTTGTGTGATAATCGGTTGAAGAATGGCTTCAACACCACTATAATTTGTGAGTGAATTCTTTTCCTATCATTTTGTTTTTTGTCGAAAAACTGTTTAATAACTCCTTCGTTATAAGAATTCGTTACATTCATTTCAAACACATCGAGAGCTACATATGCATCAGAAAATTATTGTAATTTTAAAAAAGCAGTGCAATTTGTCAAGCTTTTTTTTGTTTAATTAGAGTTATTAGTTAGTGTTAGAGTTCATAGAGTGAAGGTGTATCTTAGAAAGGAAACAGCATAGGATTAATTTATATTTCTTTTGACTTTCGCTAAGTCCGTGGGCTATTTCTAAAAAAAATACCACTATTTTCAAGAAAGATTTAATGTATCATTTTGCTTGTGCAGAATTGTCTTTTCCAAAATGACAACTATTATTGCCATTGAATGATCAAAATTTTTTAGTTATCGTTTTTGTTCTTTAACTCGAGAGTTACATTATTTGCTCTAAAATATTTCTATCAATTTAAAAATACGTGTTTTTTTTAAGTTAAAGAGATAATTATAAGCGATTCCACTTCTTTTGGAACTTACCAAAGTGCTAGGGCGAAATAAGAGAAATGAGACGATTTGGAGTTTGTCATGTTTCGTTTTGTGTTAATGAATGTTGCTTGGCAGAGCAATGTAAACAACATTGCAAGTACTTAACTGCAAGAAATATGTGATTCATTTATATTTTTTCAATTTCTGTACAAGGTAATGAAAGAAAAAATATTGCAATTTTGGGAGATAGGAGATAATGGCCTAATGTATTAACAATTCGTGTCATAGACTATAAGGAACAGATGTATATGGACTTCACAAAATAATGGTAATTCGCAAAATTTGCCATATGCCATCACTATTAGTAACTCACCATTAGTATCACCATTAGAATTAATGTTAAACACTACGCTTGTTAACTACATCCAATTATTAATGAAATAAAATAATTTTCTGACCAATGCCATGAGTAAAAAATATATCCGGTTGTTTAAAGGGGATGAGTAAGGGCCTGAACTAGTCCTGATGATCCGGCCCCGCATTAGTTTAGCTATCTAGCCCTGCCCAGGAGATCTCGTCCGGCCCGTCTCAGTCTACGTTTATCAGGGCTGTATGTGGCAGAGATTACGTGGACCGGGTAAGGCAGAAATCATGTGGGCCTGATTTGCCAAAGCGTTACACCCCGGATCAGGCCTTTCGGTGCCGCTCCCATTTTTGCCTGATTGGGGCCTTAAATACGAAATCTGGCAACCTTATTAGGCCCTGGTGTGACCCCTGTCTGAATTTCCAGTCGGGAGTCAGTGCCGATCATGCACTGAGAAAAACAATTAATTTTGCCTAGAATATTTTCTTCCCACCAGTAAATCTGGCGATCACGGTGTAAATACTGGGAGTATTTACTAAGACTTACTAATGCCGAATATATTTTCTCGTGGTTAGTCAATATTCTTGGCTAAAGAAAAATTTTTTTCTCAGTGTATGGAGTGAGATGGCAGTATAAAAAAATATGTGAAGATGAGAGAGACTCACCCCATTCCAACCGAAGGGAAGAAATCCCTTGTGCTCTGACCAATTGGTTGAATCAACGTAGAACAATCCAGCAGTCATGATGAATACCCAGACTGATAAATTGATGGCGTTTAGAACATTGTTGAATATCAGTGATTTCTTCACACCCGCTGCCATCAGCATCATCATTAAAAGAGTTATTACGAACGCAAGAAAATCCGGTGGACGGCCTGAAATAACAAATGAGTATCTATAATCTTTCAAAATTATAATAACACACTGCTGAAAAATTATACTCAAAAAATATTTAACAACGAAAGTGATGAAATTATTGTTGGAATTTTCATTGACGAATCAGTTAATTTCTTCAATATTCTGGTAATTCTCGATTTTCACGTCAAGAGAGTATTTTTTAAACTGAAAATGTGGAAAAGTCAAGCAATAATTTTTCGACATTTTCTGAATCTATTGAAAATTTATTTGATGTTGAATTTTCATGATGAGGATTACAAAATAAAAATATCAGATTATCATTTAGGATGGAAGACCCTATTTTATTTAATTTTCAAGATAAATGAGAAATTTAGTGACTGCTTTTGATTGGAATTCAATTCAAAATTATTTTAATTGAAAATTCAGATGATTTTGTGACTCAACCTTCAATAAATTTTCAAGAGTACACTCTCGAGTAGTAAAACGTATTTTGGTCAGACAATCGCTTTTCTCTTTTAATCCGTCCAGTCACAGTACCAAATATTTTTTAAAATTACAGTGTAAATAATTTCGCAATGAATTGAACACTAAACACAAAAAAAGATTTTAAAACAATTTTTTATCACTAAAAATTGATGGAAAAAATTTTCTTTATAATAGAAATTCGTTTTTTAAGATAATCTTTTTTCCCGTCACCAAAAAATGTCAGTTTCCTTACAAGATGAAAGAAAAAATAGAGAAATTAATTACTAACTAATTTATTTACAATAGTATTTATAAAAAGTCAGACTTTTTGAATATTTTCCTAAAAACCCCGGATTTTCCTTATGAATACGAAAACAGAAAATCATTGGAAAGATTTTAGAAGACGAAGAGTTGATTAAATGGAACATTTCCGATTATTAGTTCCCAGAATAGAATTTCCAGAATTTCTCAGCTTCTTTTTTATTCTGGAGATATGAAATGCGCTCATTCAATTTCACTGGAGCATTGTGATACCTAAATGAAGAACGATGATAACATTTTATGGGATCAAAGAAGTGTCGAATAAAGGGAGAAATTCGAGAATAAATTCCGGCCAAATAGACGGGTTTCCCTCTTTTCCTCAAATAAATGAGCCACCCTTAAACGAAGTAAAAACATTGAATTGGCCAAATTATTTGTGCCCACTGACTTCCACCCTCTCACTTAATTCCCAGTAACTTCTAATAACCTCCATTCTGTGCCTGAGCCTTTGATTTCACCATTGTTATCTTCCCCAAGGATTTCTCTTTTCTCATTTCTGAATAATTCCACTCTATTGCTCCCTGTCCAACTTCAATCCCCTCAGAATCATTGATTAGCCTCCAACCCTTGACGTAATTAAAGCCCCAAGCGTCATTAAAATTCTCAGTGAAAGAAAAAAACCCCAGGCTTGGTAATTTTCATCCTTATGCTCATCCACGATCCCAGTTATCCGATCTACTCAGTGTCAGATTAATCATTAAAAATTAAATGTACAAAGAGAAAAATTCCCGACAAATAACGTGGGAGCTTGGCGGAAATATTGGAAAAATT